TTCGTTCCTATTGTTTGCTAGAATTCTCTCTGTAATTCAGTTAGATACTTAACAGCTAAGTAGCACCGGGACGGAAACGGAAGCGGGGACGGAAACGGGGACGGGGAAACTCTAATCTTAAAACATCAAGATACTGGTACGACAGTAAAAATTAAAAAAATTACAAATAAAAACAAATATATGTCATGTTTCTGTCCTTTGTGGGTTATTACATACATACGGACCATACTTGCTCCGCTGAATAGAGGAGTCGGCCAAAGCCCAAAATTCAGCGTAGCCCAAAATTCAGCGTAGCCCAAAATTCAGCGTAGCCCAAAACTTTATGTTTGCGATAAGCTTCTGAGCCTTCTCTGCGAGCCTCATGCTGCGTCTACTAGTTGCGATGTTGGAGGCTGGAGACTGTGTTTGCGAGTGCGATTCCCATCTACCTCAGACTGCGACGGCAACTCAGTTTCTCAACCGTTCGATTGCGATTCCGTCCGCATGAGCGATTGAGCTATTCCCGTCATCTATTTAGGTCTGTGTGCCGATTCGCCGTTTCAAGCTTCAAAGTGACAGAGTTCAGTGCGATTGAACAGATTGGGGGTTCTGGCCGTTTCCGGCCGTTTCCAGCCGTTTCCCGTTTCCGATACGTTTCCGAAACGGAAACCTGAAGTGGTTTCACGTTTCCGTGCTTCTAGCTTAACAGTTTTCTAACGCAAACTGTTTTGTATTTTTCTATTTCTGTTTTTCAGTTTTCTGTTTCTATTTACCAAATTTCTGGTTTTCACTTTTCTACTTCAGTTTACCTATTTTCTATTTAAGTTCTAGTTTTTTTACTTTCATTTTCTATTTCATGTTTTCTTATTTATGGAATATATTTTTACCAACAAATAGTATCCAATATCTTATATGTAATGCTGAGATCTGGGTTATCTGCTCGGTGAGTACTCGGCGAGTACTCGCAACTCGGGTACTGACCTTGTTGAGTAGCTACCTAACTCGGTCCGTGTTTTATTTCCGAGTTACTCGCCGAGTACTCGGTGAGTTTTTCAACTCGGTGAACTTTTCAACTCGGCGAGTTACTCGGTCTAACCTAAGTAGCATCAGGACGGAAACGGGGACGGGGAAACGCTAAACTCAAAATATTAGGAAACGGGTACGACAAGGAAACGTCAAACTAGAAATTAATTTTTTTAGTAATATAAGTAATGCATATGTCTAACAACCCAGAAAATAATTAAGCAAAACATACATCCTTGTTATAATCAATTCTACAAGCACAATAAATAAAATTTAAAAAGCACTACGTAAATGTTTCATTCAGTGATAAACACTCTCTCTAATTCCGGCTCATCTAAGGATAAATTAGCAAACTCCAAATAGCCCATTTCTTCCAAATTGCCGAACACGTCTCCTCCAACATCCCACATCTTGGTCTTCTCATCTGCGTATTGCTCAGAACTCCTTGACAAGAGGCGAAGGTTGTTGTGCACAAACACCAAATCTTCAGCTCGCTTAGGAGTTAACTTGTTCCGCCTAAGTGAATGGATAAAAGAGTAAGTACTCCAATTACGTTCACATGATGATGAAGATGTAGGTTGACCAAGAACTCTAAAAGCGAGCGTTTGTAGGATTGGTGTTTGAGCACCAAAGTTAGCCCACCAACTTTTAGGATCTGTGTTTCCCCTCTTTGAAAGAGATGTAATATTTGCAAAAGGCCATGTCTTAAGTGAAAACGAAGCAAACTCCTCCAAAACCATATCGTAATCATCACCATTTGGAAAGAGCCTTCGGAAGCATTTCATCCTTTCTTGGGAGATCTCACCATCCCTATGAGGAGGGACCCTAGCGGGATCCGCAGCAAGCCAAACTTCACTATAAAACCTATTACAAAAATAATAACAAACCAAACTTTTATAAAAAAATAAAAATATATATATATCATGTTTAACTAATAATGATACCTTGGGTTCAATGAATGGGCTAAGTAGTGAAGCGGTGTAGAACTCTTTGTCCAACGTGCCACAAGAATATTGTATACTACTTGGTAGAAAGCACTATACTCATCGAGAGACTTTCCTTCATGCTTCTAGATTTCCACTTTGACTTTTTCATAATCTCTGGCACTTATGTTATTAAATTTTAATTAAATCAAGGTTGAGTAATCACTGAGTAATCCCGAGTAATCGGTCCTACTCGCTACTCGGTCCTTGACCGAGTTACTACCGAGTAACGAGTTAACTACCTAGGCTGAGATAACACACATAAGCAAGAGTGACTGACGATTGTGATTGTTCAGCGGCGCCGTGATGGTTGGAGACAAAAGTAGCAGAGATAGGAGGCAACAATGGTGGTCATTAATGGTAGTAGTGATAATGGTTGTTAGGGAGTGTATGCTTTTTCTACGACAAAAAGTGATTTTTTCAAAGTAATTTTAGACGAAGTGTTTAATAGTGAAAATTGATAGTGTTTGAGAAAAAAGTGATTTTGAAGAATTAAAAGTTGGTTGTGTTTAGTAAAAAATGTTTTTTTGTGTAATACGAAAAGTGAAAAGCAGTTTAAAGAACCCCTCCACTTGCTTCTAGCTTTTAGCTTTTAAGTGCTTATTTTAACGGATGCTCTCAATTGAAAACACCATTATTAGCTTTTTTATGGAAAAAACTGAAAAACACTTTTTTAAATTCTTTGCAAACACTTCCCTTAGAGCGGCACTGTGGCACTGTGGCACTGTGGCACTGTGGCAGTGGTTAGTCATAGAGTCAATACATTATACTACCTCCGTTCTCTTTTAATTGCAACATTGGACTTTTTGCACTATTCACATGTTCTACTTTGACTATATTTTATTAATTAATGTATTATAAATTAAATTTCTTAAAAATTTTGTTAAATTCTTCTCATTCTAAATTTTCAAACTATGAATTTTTTAAATTTTTTACTAATAGGGATTGAAAGATATTAATGATCAAACTTGTGCGTTGGCAAACGTTAAATAAATATTGACTGTTGCAATTAAAAGGGAACGGAAGAAGTACTATTATAGTATGCTCCACGTTATATATCATTACAAAATATTTTAGCACAGTGATTTTTTGATAAATCGACAAAAATATGATACAACGATAAGATGTTGACATGTCAATTCCGGCTTACCGAAACTTTTACATGATATTGGTATATATTAAAAGAGATGATCATTATTTTTCACACCCCTAGTCTCATCACTCATGACACCAACAATGTTTAGTGATATCCAGAAGTAGGAGTTAATAATATATGGTTAACAAGCAATGAATACATTAATATACTTCCTCTGTCCCAAAATAATAGTTGCATATTTCCTTTTTGGGCTGTCCTAAAAACTATGGTCATGTTTCTTTTTTTGGCAAACTATCCTACATAAGATTCATTTTTTCTATCATTTGCAATGGAGCCAAAGATTCATTATTTTTTGGCTTGAGATTATGATGAATAAAGCAAAATGGCTCACTAAACTGTCTACGCTTCTTTGTTATGAAGCAGCAGTCAGTCCATGCAATTTTGGACGAGATTTTCACTATGGGTCATCCGGAAACAGTCTCTATGTGCTTTAGTACAGGGGTAAGGCTGCGTACATCCGATCCCCACTTACCCCACCGTAGGTGGGAGCCTTTGCGGCACTGGGGTAAATGAAAATGATGAAATGATGATTTGCAATGGAGCCAAAAACTCACTATTTTTTGAATTGGGAATATTATGGAATAAAGCAAAATGACTTACTTAAATGTTTGTGCTTCTTTGTTATGAAGTAGTAGTCAGCCCATGCAATTTTTGACGCGTTTTTCACTATGGGTCATCCGGGAACAGTGTTTTTGTGCTTTAGTACAGGGGTAAGACTGCATACATCCGACCCCCCTTACCCCTGTGGGAGCCTTTGTGGCATTGGGGCAATGATGACGGTCCTACATAAGATTCATATTTTGCCCTTTCTTTTACTTAAACCTACAACTTCGTTATTACAACTTCACTTATTTTTTCACTGCTACAGTAAAACTAAAGGATACTTTAGACATTTTATCTTGTTTTCTTATTCTATATGCCCAAACGAAGTGTCACTATTAATTTGAGATGGAGGTAGTTGTTAATTGTTAATTGTAGCATCCATAGTGATGGGCGTAGAGATTGTGTTAAAGTTTGTTTGGGTCATGAGAGGCTGAGCGGGCTAGGGGTGGGGTGAGGGTAGGGTAGGGTTTAGTAGGGTCACTAACAATTAATCTATTTTTTTTTACCTTTTGACATTTTTTTTAACAAGTGTAATTTCGAACTTGTTTTTGTAAGGGCTCATATGTAGTTCTAGATTGACCCTTACTCCTAAAGCACGTCCTTGTACAAGGCTCTTGGCTAAGTAGCAGGAGCAACTTTTAATGATAGTATGTTTAGAGACAACTCGAACCAATACTAGAACCTATGACTATTCATGATTCCCTGATTGAATCAAGTACATATTGAGTAGGGTCACTAACAATAGCAATGAGAGATCACTTATTGACTTATTGTTGTAGAGATCGGCATTAGTGGAATATGTGTTCATCATTATAGTTTTAGGCTACATTCTTTTGAAATTTGATTTCTATTTCTAGAACACAAAAAATGTTTCTAATTTTTGGAAAAGCCGATGTATATTAGAACTGTTTTATGTTTTCTAAATTAGAAAGCTTGTAAAATGAAAATGATTTTGGTTTTCTGTTTTCTAAATTTGGGTAACAGCATTAGTAAACATTATTTGTTAGTTTCAGTTTTTCAGAAAATCAGAGAAAATTTTGGCTATCTTTTAGTTGATCAGAAAAAATAAAGAATACTACCCTAAGGATGCGGTCAAAAACCTAACCATTTAATATGAAAAAGGTCATAGTTTGTGTCAGAAACGCATATTACCGTAGAGAATTGTGTTCCACCAACAATGCGTAGAAAGTGAGTCAGTGTGCTAGATCTCGTGTAATCTGAATTAGTTCAATTTTAAAATTCTTCTGAATGTGTAGGTTTTGGCTGGCTTATTGAACATGGCTGATAGGGCTGACTGGAGGAATTGTACAATTTGCAAAGAGGAAGAGATTAGAGTGGTTGAATCTTTCAAGAGTAGATTTCAAGAATATGATCCCAATCAATGATTTGACAGACGAGGTATTGAACGGCAACAATGTTTTCTCAATTCTATTTAACAATTTAAATGGAACCATAACAATCTGAACAACTTTTTGAGGCTTTTTAGCTGAATGTGACCTGATGGCCCTCTTAATTATGACATATACTACATATGTTAAATATTTCATGGTGCCTAAGCAATTCCAGTTGAAAGAGACCAACCACATGAAAAGGAATCTTGTTACACATTTCATTGCAGAAGCATCGGTCCAAGGAGCATCAGTGGAAGATCTAAATCACAATCACTTGTATACTTTTGTCCATAATGATTTTAATATACTCCCTTAAAACATGGCCAAGTTTGACCGTTATGAGGATTAATAAAGTAAAAGACTGTGGTTGAGGTTTGTGTAGAGGAGAGGAGAGAATTAACGGGAACTACAAATTCTTTACAGTTCAAAGTTTAGTGGCACAACAAAAAGCGAAAGTTGACAAAGTTTTAAGGGATGAAGTGAGTAGTAGAATTCTTATGCTAAGACTGAAATCAAGAATATCACAACACGTGTCATGAAAGCACCATAGTGAGAGCCCGTAAGAGGCCTTGGTGCTACTAGGAATCGAGCCTAGGTGGAAAGGGAGAAACTGTTGTGTATTCTTCCCGTTTTTATTGATTGGCTTGAACACTAGAACAATATGTTCTCTGTGCATCTTCACCCAAGTTCAACTCTTCCTGAAGGACCACTCGAGGTTTACCCCATTGTTAACTTCAGGGTTCGGCAAGACTATTCATGCCAAAGGTCCTTGTAAAAAGAAAACAGAACAATTACATGTGCACACCTCTTCTTCAACTCAGACAAATGTGGCCAGCATGCGATTTGTTACCACGGAATGTAACAGGTTCCATGGGTTGGTTTACCATTGTGATACACATAACAGTTAAGAGTACGAAGGTGATAGACGGTAATTATGGTATAGTTTTAGGCATTTTCCAAAACAGGAACAACAGGAACGCTCATTTTGTAATTACAGAGGACTAATAATCCCTTTGTTAACTTCACTACCTTGTATTCATCAGAACTCAGAAGCGCTCTGATCACCTCAGGAATATTCAGATAACCTTAAGAATCCAATTAAGCAAGATGGCCTTTGGCCTTGTATGGTTGATCCAGTGATGAAATATTGAAATCAGTTTGAAGTTAGAACACACAGGTGATAGACAAAGTAATTATGGTAGCTTTAGGCAGTTTACAAAATAGGAACAACATGAACACTTATTTTGTAATTGGAAAGAGGACTAATAATCCCTTTGTTAACTTCACTACCTTGTATTCATCAGAACTCAGAAGCGCTCTAATCACCTCAGGAATATTCAAATCACCTTAAGAATCCAGCTGAGCAAGATGGCCTTTGGCCTTGTTTGATTGATCCAGTGATGAACTCAGTCTGAACACACAGGTGATAGACAAATAATTATGGTAGCTTTAGGCATTTTCCAAAATAGGAACAACATGAACGCTTATTTTGTAATTAGAAAGAGGACTAATAATCCCTTTGTTAACTTCACTACATTGCATTCATCAGAACTCAAAAGCGCTCTGATCACCTCATAAATATTCAGATCACCTTAAGAATCCAACTAAGCAAGATCAATGGCGAAACCATGAGTAGTATATATGATGAATAAAGCAATAAACAAAGCAATAAAATTTAAATAAAAAAACTAATTGAAGAGTACCTTAATTTTGATTACAAACTAATGTGTCAAATGAAGAATAATAATTGAGATGTGGCAATCTTTGTCTTCGAGGCACCATTAGGAATGGACTGGGACAAGACTGGGTCAGGCTTCGAGTCAGGACTAGGCAGGTTTTGGGTTTAGGATTTCAGTACCGGTACCGGTCTGGGTTTGTACCGGTACCGGGTTGGGCTACCTGGGGCAGGTTGGGCCTATTTGTTAATTTTACTTTTTTTTAAATTAATTCACAAGTGCTAGAAAAAATTAAATGTGTATTTATTGAAATATGAAGTACAATTGATAATTGAGACTAATTTCAAACATTAAATACATTTGCTAAAAATTAATTGGAATCTCTGCCATCGTCAGTTTTTTTTCCTTTGTGAAGTGGCGGTCGGGGGCAATGCAGACTTCTTGAATTCTATGTTGGGCCTTCAACCCATCGTGGAAGCAAATGAACGTCTCAAGAGATTGTGTGCTCAATCTCGTTCTATAATCGTGAGGTCGTTGTTGGTTGAGCTAAATTTTTGTTCCATGGCTAGTGTTGACACATGCATTGATAGCACTTGCTTCGCCATCTTCGATAAAATTGGGAACATTCCTTCTTTGTCCTTCCACCACTTCAGAATAGGGTTGGACTCGGGCTGGGTCGGGCCTGGGCTGGTAGTTCTATATAGCTGGACCCGGGACCGGCCCGGGTAGCCACCGGGTCCGGGCCGGGCCTCGGGTTTGGTTAATTTTTTTTTTTTGCTTAGCTACCCATCCCTGACCCCCACCCCCCAAACCCCTTCTAAACATCAAGCCCAACCCGGTGGAGCCCAAACAAATGAAAAAAAACAAAAAAAATAAATTTGGCCCGAACCGGGCCCGGGCCCGGCCGGGCCGGACCTTGTTATGGGTGACCCGAGCCCGGACCAGAAACCCACCGGGTCGGGCCTACCCGGATTGGTCACTGACCGGGCCACCGGTTCGGGCCGGGCCGGAACAGTACCGGTCCCGGGCCGGTTCCGGGTCGGGCCACCCGGCCCGAGTCCAACCCTACTTCAGAACGTCAAAATCATCCCCTTCTTCATAATCAACATGAAATGTTAGATATAAAGAATGTTTGTTAATTGATTTTTGTGTAACAACGGGAGTTGATTTATTTATTTTCATAAGATTACCGAATATAGATTTAAAAAATGATTTTCATTAATGATGAAGAAGCAATTGGTTTCGGGGGAGGGGGTGTGTTACCATAATGTGCACGAAATTCATTAAATAATTGATGAAATAAGTTACTAACCTCAATGTATTGCTCTTTAGGATCTATGGGTCTATCTCCATACATAGCTAATGGATTGAAAAACCAAGTATAATACTTCCTCTGGCCCTTATAACTTTGTTAACTTTCCATTTTTGGATGTCCTAAAGAGCAATACATTGAGGTTAGTAACTTATTTAATCAATTATTTAATGAATTTCGTGCACATTATTGTAACACACCCCCCTCCCCCGAAACCAATTGCTTCTTCATTTAAATGAAAATCATTTTTTAAATCTATATTCGGTAATCTTATGAAAATAAATAAATCAACTCCCGTTGTTACACAAAAATCAAGTAACAAACATTCTTTATATCTAACATTTCATGTTGATTATGAAGAAGGGGATGATTTTGACATTCTGAAGTGGTGGAAGGACAAAGAAGGAATGTTCCCAATTTTATCGAAGATGGCGAAGCAAGTGCTATCAATGCATGTGTCAACACTAGCCGTGGAACAAAAATTTAGCTCAACCAACAACGTCCTCACGATTATAGAACGAGATTGAGCACACAATCTCTTGAGACGTTCATTTGCTTCCACGATTGGTTGAAGGCCCAACATAGAATTCAAGAAGTCTGCATTGCCCCCGACCACCACTTCACAAAGGAAAAAAAACCGACGATGGCAGAGATTCCAATTAATTTTTAGCAAATGTATTTAATGTTTGAAATTAGTCTCAATTATCAATTGTACTTCATATCTCATTTTTTTAACATCAAAACGGCTTTCCATTAAAATAGAGCAAACACGCAACACCAAATCCAGACAAATATTACAGATCTGATCGTAAGCCCTAGGAATAGACTTAGAGTCAGCCACCCATACAAAGCAACATGATTCGCTAGACACAAAACGGGCAAGAAGAAGCTTCAAACGGGTGAAAATGAAACACTGTCTATCAAGAGTTCATCAAAAATCAAAATACTCTGACCACACCCGGTCGAACTGAAATAAAAATAAGTACTACAAAGTGAAAAACAATACGAAAATAAAAACTTTCCCCAAATTACTTCCTCGCAGGGAGGTGGCTCCGGAGGAGGGCGAGCAGCTGTAGTATGATAGAAGAGAAAATCAACCTCAAGAAAATTCATCTGAGAACTAGGGGTGGACTCGGGTCGGGCCACCCGGCCCGTGGACCGGCCCGGCCCGCTACTGTGTGGCACCGGGACCGGCCCGGTTCTCGGGTCCGGGTCCGGGTCGGGCCTAGGCCCGGGGGGTAGGGCGGGTCCGGGCTCGGGTCTCAATTTTGGTGAACCGGCCCGGCCGGGTCGGGCCCGGGCCCGGGCCAAATTGAATTTTTTTTATTTTTTTTTCATTTTTGGGGTTCCACCCGGGTTGGGCTTGATGGGTAGGATGGGTTTGGGGGGGTTTGGGAGGGTGGGGGTGAGGGGGGGGGGGGTTAGGAAAGCAAAAAAAAAAATTCCAAACCGGAGGCCTGGCTTTGCCCGGCCCGGACCCGGACCGGACCTGGTGGCTACCCGGGCTGGTCCGGGGTCCACCATTCTTGAACCGCCGGCCCGCCCGGGCCTAGGCCCGACCCGTACCCGGCCCGGACCCGAGTCCACCCCTACTGAGAACATATCTTGCCAATCACCGGAACGGTTACCATCCCATTGCTCGCCGGTTCTTCTTCTTCCGCACCAATTACCATCTTTTTGTATTGATGATCAATATTCTCCATAAATCTCTATTCCTCAATCCGATCTCAACGCCAAGTCTGAGCAAGCCGCACTCCACACCTGCAGACCGTCGTTGTGTAGTAACGTCCAATGATACAAGAAAAAAAGACCTCGGTGCCGTAATCACCGGGCGATTACCACCGGACAATCCGAGCTAGGCATTGCCGAAACGGCAACCCTAGAGAGAGAGTCTCGTGTAACTCTAGAGAGATGTAATTCATATCTCATTAAATATACATTAAAGGGTCAAATAGACCTTTGTACTGGTCGTGTAAGCTCAATTCAGTTCCTGAACTAAAAAAAGGTACAATTCACACCCCGAACCAACAAAAAATGGTTCAAATTTCATTTTTTACAGGTAAACAACTGGTTATTTTTTTAATTTTTTAATTATTTCTGTTTTTATTTTCGATTTATCGCAATTTGACACTTTTTTATAGTATAGGGGTGCGAATTGGACCTTTTTTACTGGTTCCTTAACCTTAAAAAATGAAATTTGAACCTTTTTTTGCCGGTTCGGGGTGTGAATCGGACCTTTTTTTAGTTCAGGGACAAAATTGAGCTTATAGGACCGGTTCGGGGGCCTATTTGACCTTTTAGCCTTTAATTTTTTCTAGCAGTTGTGAATGAATTTTAAAAAAAGTAAAAAAAATAGGCCTGGCCCAACCCGGGCTCGACCCGAAGCCCGACCCGACCCAGTACAAACCTTGGCCCGACCCGAAGCCTGACCCGAAGCCCGACCTGATCCTATCCCAATTCAACCTTATGTCGAACGAACTCTCTCCAGGCTTGGAGGGCGGAGCCACCAAGCTATGGGCCCACACGATTTGGATTGGAGGGCCCTAAGTCCTGGGCACAAGACTACTTCAGAGGCCGTTCTTCCCGAAGGTTGGGCTGCGCACCAGCGATCGCCCGGATGGGCTCGACGTCCAGGGGAGCCGTGTCACTTGGGAAAAGCCCGTTGATGCCGGCCTCATGGACGGGTGGGGATGGGGCCCGATTCATCCAAGCATGCGGCTGCTCAGAGTGGGAAGCCGCGGAGGAGGTGGCACCAGATATGCACTAATTGTAAGTGCATAAGTTTATGTTTTTATGTATTGTTTTGTGATGATTGTTTACCTTTATTGTTAGTTTGTAAACATTTATTTGAATTTGATTGTAATTGCACTTTAACATTTATTTGTGAGTTGTAAAGTAGTGGTAGGATTTGTGATGTTGGAAAACAGGACTTTGAAGTGAAGAGAACTGCCCAAGGGATTTACCCGGCCGGGTATGACCTTTTACCTGGTCAGGTGTGAGTCAAAAAAGGAACCTTGTTCGAAATTGCACACATACCCGGACATGTATGGGCCTATACCCGGTCGGGTATGATTTGATCCGGGCAAACAGACGTGCTAAAACACAAGAATGTGGAGGATTGATTCGATTTTGATTGATACCCGATCGGGTATGCCCTATACCCGATCGGGTACCTGGCCCAAGCTGTTGAAAACACCTATAAATAGCACACTTTTCCTTCACTTTCATTCATCCCTTCTTCTATATACTTAAGTTCAACATAGAATCTTTGATAAAAAAGTTCTTTAAGAAAATAAAGAATCATGCTCTTTGGGATCTGAACCTACACCGCTGCTCAAGACTTTAGCGGATCAACTTTATTACACTCCAAATGAGTAGCTAACCTCTCATTTATAGGTTTTGCTCTTGAACCTTGTTGAATGTTAAAGTTGTGAGTTATCTTCTTACTTCTTCACTTGAATATTAATTCTTCTCTTAATCTTATTTCTATATTAATGTTGGGTAGTGTTGCTAAATGACAATTAGTTAACATCTTGACATTAATTACTACTAGAAACGATCAATGAACCGATGGATAATCATTGATGGTTTCACAAGTAAATAACTTCG